CCGTGTCGGACACGTGTCCATGCCGTGTCCGACGCGTATCCGTGTCCGACACGTGTCAGACACTGCATACCCTCTTTAAGAGGCGTGTCGGTGCATCATAGCTTAATATCATTTCTGCAAGCAGTCTTGTCCGTTGTCGGTTAAGGGTGCATTTTCAATCAATTTGAAGGACATAACAAAGCTACCGAACAACTCCATGTGCAATATAATTATCAGTAGAAGCAGGAGCAGCAGCAGCCTTACCTCAACTCCTTAGCATCAAGTTAATGTGTTTTTCTTAACAAATCAATCATGGAAAGAGTTGCATTTGCCATCAATTCTGATTTTACCAAATCTTTTTGAACAAATCATAGACATGTTGGTTTTATCTTTCCATTATCATTCCTATATCTTTCACATTAATTTTACTGCCATTAACGCAACCAGTTGATACATCTCTCTTCATAGTTACAAGATCAGAGTGTGCCAGAAAATGAACAATCATCAACACAAGAAAATAGCACTCAGCATAACTCTAAAACTACATGGATGCCAACAGATGGAAAGAAATAACAGGGTCAAACGCCAATCAAAATTTGATAGTTTAAGTACCTCCACTTAGTGTAAGAATTAAGAAAATGAATTTATTGGTATACGCATGCAAGAAAACAAATCAAAAGTACCCCAAATGTGGAACATGCTGCGGGTTCAACACTTACTATAACTGTTTCTCCATCACAATTCCACTACTAACATTCTTCAAAGAATATCAAATGCAGCAATATCATGGCTCTGATACTAATGACTGACAATATGCTCGCTTTCCACAATTGCTGGAGTTGACTCATTAAAATTTCATAATAAAAGATGGTGCAGAAAAATAATGTACCAATATAAATTTAAAAAAGTAAAATTTTGAAGCATGCATACCAATCCATGTGCATATAAGCTACCATACCTGCACCGTGCACTGAACCATAGATTTTCTTCTACGGTTAAATTTCCATGCACAATATCGTCTTGTGGCACAAAACCAATGATTTTCTTATATGATCGGATAGACTCTGCTTTATCATTTATCAGAACTGAACCACTCACATCACATCCTGTTGTCTTGCCAGCCAGGGCATTGAGAAATGTTGTTTTTCCTGCTCCTGATGGACCCATAACAGCAGCCACACGACCAGGCATTAATTTCCCTGTTATACTCTTTAGGAGTTGCTTTTTACTTCCTTTCAGAGTTAGGGTTAGATTCTTGAAAGCAACTTCAATTACAGGTCTAGTTCTTATTTTATTATCAGTGGCCAATGCAACCACCCCTGAAAAAGTCAAATTGTTGGTTTGCCGTTGCATGGCCTTTTCTTTTTCAATTTGAGCATATACATACTTGAAGATTTGGCTACGAGTATGCATTTGCTTTCCTTTGGGCATATTCTTTTCAATATTTGTTTCACCTATTTGCACATGGAAACTCCCACTGCTCTCAGGGTAATCCTCAATTGAATTTACCATCTCAGAAACATTAATCTGCTCTTTGTTCATTGATGTTGATGGATTTGATAGTTTTAGAGGCACATCTGAATCATGTTGGTCGGAGCTCTTAAGAGATGACTTTCGACGGAACGTTCGGGATAGTCCTAGTGCATGCTTCTTTGCAAGATCTTTAGCAGCTTTCCACCTCTCACGAGCTTGCGCTATTTCTCTAGCACTTCTTGCAGCAGCGTCTCTGGATTTGGCTTCTCTTCTCTCTCGGCTAGTTAGAATTTGGCCCGAAAAGTTGTATATAATCAATAAGATCAAACTCAACGCAACCTATAGATAAGTATGGAATGATCAACTAGTCATCTCACAAAGTCACAGTAATATTAACCAAAAATGAATAAATATCTCATTTTTACGCTTTACATGATCAACATTACATTTGGCAATAGAAAAATTAACCATCAACGATAATAAGAATATCACTCTTCACATTTTAAAAGTGGTATTCAAGTGGAAGTTCAACAAGGATCTTTCTGATAATGCCTAAGGCAATTTAGGTACACATAAAACAAGTTCGTTCTTCTTGAAAATGAATAAAGTGGATTAAAGTCAATTATCTGCAGAATCAATAAACTGGTTGATGTAACGCGTGACAGCTACATTCCATTAGTGCTGAGTCATTTCTTGTTTCAATTGTCATTTTTAATCTACCATTTCCCGTCATTTCTCATGTCAGGATATTCAAGCTCGTTACTCACGTTGTATGACCATAATATAAAAACAAATATAAATAGACAAGTGTCGTCAAGAGGACATTGATAACTCTGCATTAGGACACTATTTTAAATACAAGTATAGCATATTATTCAACATGTTTATTTAATTTTTACAGTTTAACCAAATATATTTGATCTCATGAATAGAAATGTTGCAATCAAAAGCTACATTTAAGTATTAACATTAAACGTGAATCTATAATATTTTGAAGAATACGAATATGTGAAGTGTGAACCCGTAGCTAGGTCTCTTAGATTGTGAACATACGGTTAAGAACTATACGTGCAATTGTGCACATAAGCACAACCTACCGCACAGATATATTTTTAAGCTCGCGAACAAGCTCTATTCTATCTACGATATTTGTAGGTTTGTCAAAAGAACTATTAACCAAAAAAATTCCTAATGTATACAACAAACAGACCCTTGGATTTAACACCAACTCTGGTGATATTGTGCTAGATAAGCTTCCCATGGAGTTTAGGTGGCACATTAGGAGTTACAGTGTGAAACCTGTTAAATAAAACAAGCTAACTTTTAAACGTCAAGATGCCTTTTGGTATAAAGGTTGGAATTTCATTATGAAATTCTGAAGTTAAGCAGTTTGTGCACAACATTCTTGGGATGGGTGACCTCCTAGGAAGTTACACCAATGAGACAAAACGGTGAGGCCATTGGATCAAAACAAGCAGCACCTTGATAGTTAAGAGTTTAGGGTGCTATAAAATAATATCAGAGCAATACATCAACCAGAAGATAGGAATGAAGTGTCATACAAGACAAAGTGCTACATCATGAGATCCACCTCTTGAATCCTATATGGGACAAAGTGCTACATGGCGATAGCTATCACTTGAACTTGTAGGGGTCACCTCTAAAGTCTTATATGCCTAGTAGATGATTCTTGGATAAAAATGCTGACGATGATGAAAATTACTTAAGTGGAAAAGATTGTGCAACTCCTTAAATAAAAAAAAGCTAAACTCTTATATATGGAGTTGCCTCTTGGTATAATGGTTGAAATTTTATTAAGAAATTCCAAAGTTAAATGTGCTCGTGCTGGAGCAATCTTGTGATGGGTGTCCTCCTAAGAAGTTACACAAACAGAACAAAACCATTAGGCCATTAGACCAAAGCGGATAATACCTCGATAGTTAAGATTTGGTGCTATTAGATGCAAAGACAATGGAACAATTTCTTTAACTGAAATGACTCTCTACATCAATGAAGCTGCTTGTGCTTAAAATATGCCCCTAAAACACAATGATCATGCTTTAAGGCTCAAGCCTATTAGTCATTATGGACATGCATTTAAGTTTTGGAACTACTTGGTCCATCCCACACAAACAAAAAAAAAACATTTTGTAAGTCAAGGTCTGTGTTAA